CATTGAATTTATTTAATACACGAGTTTCACAATTTGAGTTGAATTACTGAAATAAATATACTTTTCCACGACATTCTAATTTATTGAGATGCACCTGTATATATATATATATATATATATATATATTCATGTTTATTTCACGCTACAACTTGATAGGAAATAGGAGAAGTCTCACGCTAGCTGCCGCTAAAACTGAGATGTCTACAGCTATCTGTCATCTCACATTTAAGGGCATCAAAATGGCATTTATTGTTTAAAATATTGTTTTGTGATTAAAATGAACAGAATTTGAAAGCTGAGACTTTGTTTTTTATCAGAAGTAACAAAGCACAAAGCTCTTTGCAATTATTGGATGGGAGGCACATTACAAATAATGTTTTGTGAATGGAAAAACCACGGACCTGGCAAACCTGGTTTAAACTACGGGTGATTCATAGGGTCAAAAAGATCCTGCGTTAACGGTGCTGTGTTAATGTGTTGCTGCTTTAACTTGGAAAACCCTAAATTTCAACACAAGATACATTTCTTCACACAAGCTGCTGTCTGACATGTTTGTCTTCCCCGCCACGTTTTGATTGACAGGATATAATCTGCCCTGATTTATTATCATCTGTTTTTAAACAATCGGTCGATGCCCGATAATTGCTTTTATCGGCCAGTACCAATTATTGGCCGATATACCAGTGCATCCTTCAAAAAACAGACAGTCAAGTTAATACTTAAGAGTTTGGGGTTTGTTCAAATTATAAACCTGAGTATTTGTGATTAGTGATGCTTTTTATTTATATTCAGTAGATTTGAAGCTAGCTCAGAAATCTCTGTCTCTTTGAATGTTATTCCGTTTTGTCCATTCTGGCCGTGAGCAGTTTTGACAGTCACTAAAAGTAAATATTTGATGAGGCAAGTGTCCATTGAAGGTGTCGGGGTGTCCGCTTGCAGCGATGGTTTCTTGTTTTCCGGCTTCTGGACATGCTTGTCATGAATTCATTGATCAGGTGACCTGACCTTACATCATATGTAAACCAATGGATATAATATAAACACCTCATAACCCAAGCTATATCCTGTAAGCTGTTTAAATGAACATTTATTTGAACTTGTTCGCTCCACAAGGAGCTGTGTGCTCATGATATCACAGTGCGTGCGCCTCCGCTCACGTGCCGCCATTCGGTCCGAGGTGTAAAGCTAGACAAGTTGTTCCAGTTAAGTTAATATTATGAAGTGATCTGCTTTTAGTTTAATCAAGACCATTGAATCTGCTCTGACTGGATGTCTGAATTATTTATTGGTACACAGGAAAGGGAAGTCGCCTCGCTGCCATTTAAGAATCACACTGTGTATGTGGCCCTTCTTTGCTGGATGCACATTACGGTAATGTGTGATTAAATAACTGAGCTAAAATCAAGGTTGAGTAATGCGCATTGTCATGAAACACACAAAATCTAGGGCGCTAACATGGATTGACAGTGCTGACAAATGTGGTTGTTCTGTGACCTAGCTGACAGCGCTGCGGTGCCAAGTGGGTTTCAAGTTATAAGGGATAGAAAAACCGGCCAAATCTGGCCTAATTTAACCCGACCTCTGTAATGGAGCCTGAATCGGCATGGTTTGGATTGCAGAGTCACCTCTTCCCATTTTACGGTGACCTGAAAAAGTGTGGCTAGTAAAGAACAAACAAGGGGTGAGTGGCAGGCTACATTTAGTAGTGCACTAAGCTTTAAATTCTTCAAAAACATCAGTATTTCTGCATGTCCTGTCCAAACCCTTAACAATTAACAAACAAGTTAACAGTAGTACCTACTTGAAATGGCGTCCAAAGGTATGAAGCTACATCAAAATCTTCAAAAAAAAATTTTTTTTAAATGTAATTTTATTTAAAGGGGTCATAGGATGCTACATGTACTTTTACAAGTTGTTTGAACTGAAATGTGTGTTGGCAGTGTGTGTACACAACCACCCTATAATGATAAAAATCCACCCAGTGTTTTTTTTTTAAATCTAGTTAAATCTTTACCCCTTTCTCAAATCGAGCCGATCTCAGATGCCTGTCTGTATAGTTTGATTGACAGTAGCATTTCAGCACAGACTGGACTGGCGTCTTACCTTAGACCCGCCCTGAGTGATCTGTCATCAGTCCGCCATTGTTTCACCACCGGAGCAGTTGTAGACAAGAATGACTCCTAACAAGCGATTGAGGTGTTCTGTTGTTGGATGTAATAATGAACATAGCAGTCGCCATTTACTCCCGACATCTGAGCCGCTGAACTCGCAGTGGATTACTGTTTCTGAAGGGAATGCGCACCCGATCTACATAAATGCATCTATGTTCGCGGGAATCATTCGTGATCCAGCCTCATCTACAGAAGAAGTGAGTATAATGTTTTGTAATGAATCTTTGCAAATCGCCTTTCCTAATAATGTGCTAATTAGCAAGTTTCACGATGATACACTACCATTGAGAAATTTTAACCAAACGATGTTACAGACTTTTCATTAAGACCCCAAAGAATCATATCAACTTGTGGAAAATGGGCATCCTATGACCCCTTTAAACATATCAGCATATTAGAATGATTTCTGAAGGATCATGTGACACTGAAGACTGGAGTAATTATGCTGATTCAGCTTTGCATCACAGGAATAAATTACATTTCAAAATATGGATTTAGGATGTTCTTACTTGCACTGAAAGCTTAAGATGCTCCTTCAAACATCTCAAATCATGCTGGAGAACATGATCATCTGGTTTTGTGCATGTCAACAGTGCTGCTGTCATTAACACAAAATTGATAGGGAAAAATCAAATACTAAGACATTATGAAGTTCATACTCATTTTTCAGTATTTACTATGGTTAAATATTTGGTTTGGTTTCCTAAACCAGTTTGCACCAATATGCAAAGACTGAATCCAGTAGTTTAAGCTAGCAAATCACTAAGCTAAGAACGTGATGTTCTAATAAGCAACATAGAAAAAATACTGTTCAAAAGTTTGGGGTTGGTAAGTTTTATGCTTTTGAAAGAAATCTCTTCCGCTCACCAAAGCTGCATTTATTTGAACAAAATACAGTAAAACCGTAATATTTTGAAATATTATTACAATTTAAAACAACTTTTTTATTGCAATATAGCTTATTTTAAAATGTAATTTATTCCTGTGATTAAAGCTGAATTTTCAGCATCATTACTCCAGTCTTCAGTGTCACATGATCCTTCAGAAATCATTCTAATATGCTGATTTGCTGCTCAAGAAACATTTCTTATTATCAATGAAAAAAAATTAATAGAAATGAATCCGATGAATAGAAAGTTCAAAAGAACAGCATTTATTTAAAATAGAAATCTTTTGTAACATTATAAATGTCTTAACTGTCACTTTTGATCAATCTAATGCATCTCTTGCTGAATAAAAGTATTATTTTCTTTAAAAATGACATAATTGAACTGAACCCCAAACTGAAACAAGTGTTCGGATCTCATGGTCTCAGAATGATCTGAAAGCAATCAAGCAAATCCAACAGCAGCAGACAGAAACTCTTGCACACATCATGACTGCATTTATTTATAATCATATCAGCAGTACAAAATGTTCAGGCCTGTTTTAAAGGCCAGAGAGGATTGACCTGCAACACCCCATCCTCAGTGACAATGTCAATGCATTTAACTGGTTAACAATGTCTTAACCATTTGAGCACCCTGATAATGCATAGAGCACCAACAGTCTGCAGCACCATAACAGCAGCATGAGCCGCACCAATACAACATTCACACAGCTGGATCCATATTTTCAAATGATGTTAACAAAAGCACATTAACTAGAAAAACCACAAATACAGTGCAGATAAAGGAACAGTTCACACAAAAATTTACATTTGCTGAAAATGTATTCCCCTCAGGCTATCCAAGATGTAGACGTGTTTGTTTCTTCATCAGAACAGATTTAGAGAAATGTAGCATTACGTCACTTGCTCACCAATGGATGCTCTGCAGTGAATGGGTGCCGTCAGAATGAGAGTCCAAACAGCTGATAAATACATCACAATAATCCACACCACTCCAGTCCATCAGTTAACATCTTGAGAAGTGAAAAGCTAGGTTTTGTAAGAAACAAATCCATGAAGTTTTAACATTAAACCATCGCTTCTGGCCAAAATACGAGTCCTCTATTCATAATATTGCTTTCTCCAGTTAAAAAAAAATAAAAAATCTGTTCTGATCTACATCTTAGATGGCCTGAGGGTGAGTAATGTTTAAGTAAAAAATGTCTAAGATCCTGTGTAAAGATTCATTAAAAAACTATTTAAGGTTACTATTTGTTATTTGTTAAGTGGTAAGAAATGCGATTTTTATTAAAATAACAATAATAGATAAATGGAAAATAAGTAGACCAGATCTTTTGTAAGCTCAAAAATTCTGATGCTTTGGATTTTTTTGTACCTGAAATATTCGTACCTGCATTTTCATCACAACCCTAAATATGATTCACGGAATGACACGAACACTCACTAAATATCAATGTCCAGTGAAGTTACAAATACATACTGTTTATAAAGTACCATTTCTCATCTCTTAATAATGTAAAACATCCTGTTACTTCACAGACATTTTCTTTTTTACATTTCTCTGCATTTATAATGATGAATCTTAGGTCATCATATGTTTATAGCAGGAAAGAGATTTTTTTTTTTTTCGGGGGAAAGTCTTTTATGACAGTATCCACTGAATTAAAACTAATAATCAACAAATGTGGCAATGCAAATAAAAAAAAAAAGAGTTAAAAATCTTAAGTTATGTTGAAATGTTAGTGATGTTATTTGCTTTTTCCACGCAAATTAAAAGTATCTTTCATAGCAAAAAATAACAAAAAAACAACCTGAGACTGTAACTATCTAAAATCAAATTTATGCCCTCAATTTTTCATGCAGCCTATTAATATACTATCTAATAACAACTTGGGTTAATTAGTTAATAATTTTGCACACATATCCACAAATGATTGAGTTAACCGCAGCTTTGTGCAAAATAAGTTAGTAAAACTACACTAATTTAAGAACTGCACATTTTGACCGTGAAAGCGTTGCATAATGTCCATCAGACGGTGGTCACATGACACTTCAGATAATAACAACTACTGTTTTTAATGAATAACCTGAATATCAGCCTGTAAGTGCAAAAACTTTTGCTTGCTTCATGGTAGTTTCCAACGGATCCATTGATGTAAAAAAGTGGGTCCGTAAAGACAGGTGTCTTGCTAACACCTTTTTGGGGTTAAAAAGAAGAAAAACAACAATAAAAAGTCCAAAACGAGTGCAAAAACTAACATATATGTTAACTGTCTAACTGATGTTGAATCCTGTAACTAAATCTTGGAAGCATTTCAAGGCACATTTTAAGACAGATGGAGGGAACACATGGTCAAACGCCTAGGATTCCTTTGTTCAAGTAAAAACCACATATTTTTATATATTTGAGAGGGACGTCTGTGTGTCCAGTAGTTTGTGCTTTTGGTCGATGACCCAAGCCTGACCTCTGCAGTGTTACATCATGCAAGTGACACAACACTGCTTGCGGATCGAGCGCAGCGAGCAGCGACCCAGCAGCTTGAGTTTCTCACAGAAACGTGTCGACATGCTGTTTTTCTTACAAACTAGACCTGCAAAGAAAGGAAACGAAATAACAAAAACTATTAAACTATTAAAAATAAACTAGAAAGCCATGGGAAGGTATATTAAAAATGATCTATGTTAGCACAACTTTATATTTTCCTTGTTTTTGGGGAGTACGATTTTTGGTCTCTTACACAAAAAAGACCACATTTTTAATGGATAGAACCTGAATACAGGGGCTGCACATGTAAGTCATGCTTAAAAATGTATAAATTGTCATTTGCATTAGATAACAAAATATAACCAAATAACTTTTATTAAGCTCAAAAAGAAGTTAGTTGGGTTTTAGTGAAATAACCAGTTGATCAGGATGTAAGTGGATCATGTTGATAGTTAATGTAATGAAATACACCTGTGGTTTCTCTGCTAGGTCACCTGTGTAAACTTGAGGAGAACGGACTTAATACATCCACTAAAAATCTGTGTGTAATTATAGTATCATCAAGATACTAGATTTTATTAATATTTGAAATTTGTTTTGATCAAATGCAATGACATTCAGGCATTTTTAAGTGTCCAAATACATTTTGGGAGCACTGAAACAAACAGAATACAATTTTATATAATCCAGTTTACCTAAATCAGTTTTACACTCCTCTGGGTTGCAGTTCTGCACACTGTCAGGTTTGTTGTTTTTTGCACACAGTGACATCTTTTCTTCCTCGCCGGATTCCTCATTCCTGCACCACACGGCTCGCTTCTGCACCCCTCCACCACACCTTCTGGAGCACTGTCAATCAATAAAAATCAGGGAGGATCAGGGAGGGGCCTATACGAATTTTTGTCCAATAAAATGCTCTTTGGAATAGGAACGTCCGGCCCACTTGATTATAAATACTACATAGTTACAAATCATGGATTGTACCATGATTGTACCCACCCCAACTTTTTGTTATAATAGGTCAATTAGAGTTCAAAAGATTTGGGGAGGTAATTCAATTATAATATTATACATGTCTTTACTGTCACTTCTGACAGTCTTAATCTAAGCCTGAACTTTTGACAAGTAGTGTATCATCACATTGCATTTGCCACAATATCGAGTCACACACTATATTTACTTCTTTCTATAAATGAAGACTGAGGTTTTTGCGGTGCGTTACCTGACCCCAGGCTTCAGTCGCCCAGCTGGTGCAGGGCTGTAGATTGCAGGACTCAGTGCTGTTGGGTTTGAGCGTGACGTTGCAGCGCTGGTACTCAGGGCAGTACACACGTCTCTCCTTCACTCCGCGCCCACAGCTTTTAGAGCACTGTCAATCACAAATATATATATATATATAAACAGAGCTACTTTGGGCCAGGGTTATTATTTAACTACAACCGTTACTTGAAATAAAATTAATTTTAACTAAAATAAAAATAATAAAAATTTATATCAACTAGTTGCCAGAGCAGTATTTCTCTCTTTTTTTAGTTTAAAGTAAAATAACTAAAACTAAAAAAGAATAAAACTATATAGACATTTTTAAAATGATAAAAAAAGACAAAAACACACAAATTAATAAAACTTTAACTAAAATGTAAGTGAAAACAATGTATAAAAATGAAAAACAATTCAACAATTCAAATTATTATCAAAAACTACAATAGTATATCAGTAATATTAAAAACAAAAACTAATAAAAATGACAAAAACAGACAACAAAATTACTAAATATTTAGCTAAAAGTAAAATGAAAACAGAAAATATAAGAAAAACTAATTTAAAAGATTAGCAAATACTATAATAGTAGATCAGTGATACTAAAAACAAAAACAAAATTAGTAAAACTTTAAAATTTGAAGAGAAAACATAAAAAGAAACAAATTCGAAACTAACAAAAACTATAATAGTATATTAATGATACTAAAAACAATGATTAATAACAATTACAAAACACAACTTAACTTAAATTACTAAAAGTTTAAAATTTAAATGAGAACAGCAATCATAAAAATAAAAACTAATTCAAAATTTTAACAACAATTTTAGTATATCAATGATACTAAAAACAAAAACTGATAAAAATGACAAAAACAGACAACAAAATTACTAAATATTTAGCTAAAAGTAAAATGAAAACAGAAAATATAAGAAAAACTGATTTAAAAGATTAGCAAAAACTATAATTGTAGATCAGTGATACTAAAAACAAAAACAAAACAAAAAACACAACAAAATTAGTAAAACTTTAAAAAGAAACAAATTCAAAGCTAACAAAAACTATAATAGTATATTAATGATACTAAAAACTAAGGGTGTGCCATATCATACGATAATACCGGTATAAATTTTTACATGATAAAAAAAGTGTCATTTCGCGATATCAATGATATAGCGATGCAATGACGTATGGCGCATTTACGTTCCCTAGTGCGCACAACAACAACATCACAAACCCAAAAAGTGTGTTCGACTTGAAGCAGCGCTGCGCAGACTGATCGGTGTATGACATCAAAGTATCGAGAGAGCGGTTTTAGAGCATATTTGAGCGCACACTCTTACCGTCAAAAATAGGCGAGACGCCTATCTTTGAAGCGGCGCACTTCTGAAACGTGCCGCAGCACGGCTGGTGTAAACACAAGCAGCTGACTAGCTCTGGTGGCTAGTTTTTTTAAAACATTTTTTTCTATATCGTCATAAATATCGTTATCGCAAATATTCTTGAAATATCGTGAAATAATTTTGAGGCTATATCGCCCACCCCTACTAAAAACAATGATAAATAAAAATGACAAAACACAACTTAACTTAAATTACTAAAAGTTTAAAATTTAAATGAGAACAGCAATCATAAAAATAAAAAACTAATTCAAAATGTTAACAACAATTATAGTATATCAATGATACTAAAAACAAAAACTGATAAAAATGACAAAAACACACAATTACCTACACTTTCAAATTAAAGTGAAGATATAAAAGTAAAAAGAAATTCAAAATATTAACAAAAACAAATAGTATATCAATGATACTAAAAACCAATAAAAATGACAAAAACCTTATTACATTACTATTTCAAAATAATAACTAAAAAATTAATAGTATGTCAATGACACTAAAATACTGCTCTGGACAATTTACCTTAGACTAGACTATTTTCTGCAGAGTGCCATTAGTATTAGTACCTCTGCCCAGGGTGAGGACATCCACTGCAGGCAGGGCCGGGTGTTGCAGGGCAAACTGCTGTGTGGTTTGTATGAAAGAGCCTGACAGTGAAAAGGCCTCAGTAGACGTCTGCTCTGAGTGTCGATGCACTGCACTTCTCGATGCTTCATATCAGTCACACAGCCTTCAGGACACTAAAGAGAGGAGGGCATCACAGTTCATTGCAGGATACAGTCGTTTAGGTTTGTTTTGAAATCATGGCTTTACCTCGGACCAGTTTCCACTCTTCCAGGTGGCACAGGGTCGCAGGTTGCATCGGCGGGCAGGTTCTGGCTTCTTCACACTGGCACAGTCTTCCTCACGCTCTGAGCTGCAGGCTACTGACCGCCACACCGCGCCAAGACCACACGTAGTGGAGCACTGGGATGGAAAATACATATTAGGCATGCATAATCAGTACTGCATAACTGCATTTTATTACTTCCCAAATGAACATGGGTTGCTTTAAGTAATGTGCAAATAAACAGGTACACTAGCACTCAAAAGTTTGGGGTCAGTAAGATTTTTGTGCAAGAAATTAACACCTTTATTCAGCAAGGAACATGAAACATGCTAAAAAAAAACATTCAGCTCCATATAATGCTCTGACAACAAACAACAATACTGCAAAACTCCTCTCATTTTCATCAGAAAATGCTGTTCTTTTACACATGATTTTGCAATTAATTCAGCTTGAACCACTTAATGTACAGACTCAAACTTTTCTTTTTTAAACTATTTATAAAGCTATTTTTTTTATAAACACTGTAGTTTTCATAGATATTTAAGATTAATGTTCGGAAATCTCCCATTTATATAAATGATTAAACGTTTGTTTTAAAATACCATAATGTTGTAATATTTACACTGCAAAAGTGTAAAAGTGTCAGTTTCATCCTCTGTATTTTTGTCAGTACAAATATCTAAACATTTTTAAAGCACTTGAGAAGAAATATTATGTAAAACAAAAACTCTTGATTTCTGATAAATGTAGCAAAAAAGTGAGTTTATCCTTAAAACGGGAAAAATATCCACCAATGGGTTCAGAAAAATACATTTAATTCAAAAGGAAAATAAGATAATTTTTCTTACCCCATTGGCAAATACATTTTCTCATTTTAAGCATAAACTCACATAATTTTGATACATATGTATCAGAAAACACGACTTTAACATCAGAAATTATTTTGCTTTTCAAGTTAATGTATCTTGATTTAAGGGTTTTAAGGGAAACACTTTTGAAAGTTGATCGGACCGAGCACCAAAACACACTTGTAGCCAATCACCAGTAAGGGGCGTGTCCAGTAGTGATGGGGGAGGTGCCTGTGTTGAATAGCATGTTCAGAAATTTGGGGGCGGAGGCAAGATAGGGGTGTGATTCTTTTGGGTAGGGGCGTGTTTGTTTTGGTGGTTTCAAATATCAACAGCATTTCTCAGAAATCGCTTACTGCACCTTTAAGAGCGTTTAGATATTTGTACTGGAAAACAAGTCAAAAATACTGAAGAAGAAATTCATATTTTGCAGTGTCTTGACAACAGCGACTCTTAAGCATCATGTCATTTAAAGTCTAAACTTGCCCAAACATTTAACACTATTCTTTTGCTGCCATGCAAAGCACTAGTATTTCCTTCTGGGAATGCAAATCTAATCATAATTCAATGCATGTAATATAATATACTGTAATCGCCTTAGGTTTGCATTCTTACATCACTCCAGTTGCCCACTTTCCAAAATGCATTCCTACTGATGGGATCTCGTGCATTCAGGTTTCCATAGTCATCTGTGGTGGTCGCTGTCTCTGGCTTCTGCCTGACTGCTTTAGGAGCATTGCCTTTGCTGGGACTGTTTGCTGTTTGTGAGGCTTTTCTCAGTATCTTCACTGTAGGAACAGTTGCTTGTGGACTTTGAGTATTCAAATGTGGCACTGTTGGGTTTGTGGTGGTATGTGGTTCATATGAGCTTCTTGTTTTCTGCAACACTGGGGATGTTGTCAAATAATCACTGTATTGGGTCCTTCTAGTAGTGTCTGGTTTTGTTGTGGAGATGTTAGTATGCAATGATTGGACAGTGGATGTGGGGACTTCTTCAGTTGTGCTGGTAAACATATTATCCTCACGTGCCCTTTCTTCTCCGGTTGGATCTTCTACTATATAATCATAACCTGGCGTGTAGATTTTATCCGGAGGCCGCAGGTCTGCGCTTCCCTCCTCATCCTCAGTATTTGTGGGAACCGTTACAGGACCATCACTGCCTTTGTGATCGTCCCTCACCAAGATAAAGTCTTGGTCGTCTTCATGGATGATGTCAGATGTTGTGGATGTTGGAGAGGTGTTGGTTGTAATGGTAGAAGAGGTGTTTGGAGGCACAATAGTGGAGCTGTATCCTGGTGTTTGGGTCCCGGGGGCCTGCGTTGGGATTTTAGGAGGGAATCGTGGTCGGAATGGAGAACCCGTCCATCTGTTAGTGGACGAGCAGCTCTGGAGGTTACAGAGGATCGTGGAACGAGGTCGATTGGCAGGGTTGCACCGGCCGGGTTGTTTTGCCACACACTTGACGAATCTGGACTTTATCCCTCCATCGCAAGACAGAGAGCACTGCGGGATGACACACAATCATGAGTTTGGGTAACACAAAAATTAAATAATATGACAATGCAACTAATTATTATGCAAAAATGCCTCATGAATCAGGGGTGCACGATTTGGTGAAAATTTGGAGCGTTTGAAAATAGGCGTCTATCAGCAGATCCGTCTATGATCAGATATATTAGGGATGCGCTGATAGATACGGCTTTCCGATGCTCCCGTGTATATCTGTGTAAGCCCTTGGTGAAGAGCGTGAAAGTGTATTTACAAAATGTTTTTGAAGCGATTATCATTGTAGCCCATCACAGACATATCTGTGACCCTGGACCACAAAACCAGTCATAAGGGTCAATTTTTTCGAAATTGAGATTTATACATCATCTGAAAGCTGAATAAATAAGCTTTCCATTGATTTATGGTTTGTTAGGATAGGACAATATAGCAATGCATGTTACTAATCAAAAATTAAGTTTTGATATATTTACAGTAGGAAATTTACAAAATATCTTAATGGAACATGATCTTTACTTAATATCCTAATAATTTTTGGCATAAAAGAAAAATCAATAATTTTGACCCATACAATGTATTTTTGGCTATTGCTACAAATATACCCCAGCGACTTAAGACTGCTTTTGTGGTCCAGGGTCACATCTGTTAAGCGCATGAACACAGTGGACAATCAGAGGTGTTTAAGAATCCACTCAACAGCGCTCAAAATACCAGGGGGAAATGCTGGTATCTTCACATTTTAAATAAATAAAATTTCAGTACTGATTTGGTACCAAAGTTAGTACTTTTGGCAACCCTAATAGATCTAAGCATGTCAAAGTGAAAGAAAAGAGTCATATGGAACAAAATGAGGGTGAGAAAATGACAGAATTGAAATTTTCAGTGCGTTTACAATTTGTTAAAACCCTGAACAATTCAAAACAATACACAAAACATGAAACTGATATGGAGCCCCTAAGGGGACATGAGGGGCTTTCGCACCACGTAGTTCTAGGAATTCAGTTCTAGGAACTTGACAGCATGGTGGTTCCTTGAGAACCAATTTCTCCATCATGCCATTTTCCTGGTTACATTCGCATCGGCAGCAGGAACTCTGAAGCGGCCGACAGTAACGTCTTTATGTGCGGCATTTACAAACGTCAACAACCGGTGAATAGAGAACGCTGTGATCGGACCTGTTTTTGTTGTGTGTCGTGGGGTTCGTGATAACGGAGATGGAATGTAAACGCACAATTTACACGATTGAAAGAGCAAGAAAATCTAAATAAATCTCGCAGTGTTACATATGATCGAGGCTGGGAAAAGAACACAACGCTGCAGACAACAGGTAGCTAAATGCTATTATCGCTGTTTTCCGTGTTCGTGGAGTGAATATTTTTACATGGCTTTTTAAAAATGCCGGTTAGCCGGTGTTTCGTATGCATTTGGCCAATCAGCGTACACTTACGTCACTGGTAGTTCCTATTAGGGCAGTCAAAATGGCTGAAAAACTCAATTCAAATTTTGTACTTAAATATTATCAAAATTTGAATTATATTCGAATTTAAAATGCATAATTTCAGTTAGGGTGAAGAAAAGCTTTTGGCTTCTCTTCTGAGGCCACAAGAGGGCGCATCGAGCAAAATATTACTAATGCACGTTTATTCAAAGCATAAGGTAACATGACTATATGTGAAAAAAGTGCATAATGTTTAAAATAATGTTTAAAAACAAATTAGAATGAATTAAGTTGCTTAAACAACTATAAACAAAACAGCATCATGCATGTATGCATAGTTTAATACAAAGGGCCGAAAGCCAATCACACAGAGTACATTTTTCATTTAAAAACACGAGTTGCAGTGAGATGGGGAAAAACCCCACCATAAAGTCTCGAGATATATTTTTTTAAAAGTTGAACTTGCATTAATTTTACATGGCTTTCTAAACATGCGGCAACTTTGTTTCAGTTTTGATGTAAACAAGATCTTCTCCGCATTGATGTTCTCTTTTTCCGCAATATTTTTAATTAACAACACAGCAGCACCGCATAGTGGCTTCAACTGGATAGGCTAACAAAAACATTATAATGCAACGACTTACATCGTCATCGCATCTCGTGCGCCACTGATAAGGCTCACGCCCTATTTTGGAGCTCCCACCCCGTTTTGGAGTTCCCACCCCGTTGTTGGAGATCTCCAGGCTGCAGTTATACCCTTCTCCAAAAAGCGGGTACTTCCGCCAATAGTTCTAGGAACTATGAAAAGGTTCCTCCGCTGCGAAAGCGCCTATGGTGAAAGTTAAAAAAAAGAGATTGAAGGAAAAATTGTATTTCAATGCTTTTACTTTCGAGGGCAAAACTTTTGTGTTCTCTCACAAAAGTATTGTTTCCTTGCCAAACTTTGCATTCACTTGCAAAACATTTGCATTCTCTCACCAAACATTTGTGTTCCCATTTGCTCGCAAAAGCACTGAAATAGACACACCTCATGATTTCCATCACAAACGTTTTTACAAAAAAAGTTTCTCTAGGAAATGGAAACATTTTGCGAACGAACGCAAATGTTTTTGTGAGTGAATGCGACGTTTCTTGAAGGAACGCAAAAGTTTTGTGAGCGAATGCAATGAAGTCAATGAAGAACATAAAAAACATGAACCAGGATCATTTATAATAAAATTATCCACCTCGCTCCAGTTCCCCACAGTCCATTGGAACCCACACGGTACGTCTCGGTTGCAGGGTACCACAGGTTTGGGTTTGAGCAGCTGCTTACAGTCGCCAGGGTGCAGAACCCGCTCCTCTCCGGCCACCGTACGCACACACAGAATGGTGCGCTTTCTCACTCCGTCTGGACCGCATGTAGCCGAGCATGTCTGCCATCCTCCCACCCACCACCTGAGGTGCACAGAGCATTTTACGAAAGATTTCTATTTCAAATAAATGCTGTTCTTTTGAATGCTGTTCATCAAAGAATCCTGAAAAAAGGACTGTGAAGCAGCACAACTGTTTTCAACATGGATAACAATCAGAAGTGTTTCTTGAGCAGCAAATAAGCATATTAGAATGATTTCTGAAGGATCATGTGGCACTGAAGACTGGAGTAACGATGCTGATTGCCATGACAGGAATAAATTATATAGAGATAATAAATAAGACTAGTACAGAGTTGTGCTATTCTGAACATAACCATTATTTATACAGTAGCGTACCTTGCAGGGCAGTCCATGTTCTTGCACTTGCGATGCCTGTCATCAGGACGTGTGCTGGGGTCACACAGCGTTTCCTCGACCACACCAACCTCTGGCTCAAAACAGCGCACAGGCTGATGCTGCTCACCTGCACAGAGACAGAAGGTCACATGCTATCAAAACCCTGCTGGAATAAACTTTATCATTATAAACACACCAAACAATCCTGTGGATTGAGTAAAGAAAAATCTCGCTCTGTACCAAGCCCACAGGTGGTGCTGCAGTCAGTCCAGGCTCCATATTTCCAAATGTACTCCGGTTCCAGAATTTCGTTCCCCAGCGGGCGACTTCTCTTAATGGTGTACTCATATTTGACACCAGGGTTTGCTTCTTGGAACAACAGCTTGAACATTTCACATTGAAACAAAAGCATCTATCATTTAATGACAGCATTCAACAAATCATCTTGTTTTGCATGTGCCGCCAGTTAGAAGCAACAACTTTATTTTCATGCTTTCTCACGTAAATAATGTCAGAAGAAGAGTGATAAATCAAAATAACTGCGTCTGCTACAGTGATCTTTCACAGGAAAGTTTAATTAAATTAAAATTCAATATTCTAACAAAGATGCTCTCTGGGCAAATTGTCCATTGGTTCATTAAAGAAATATTCAGGTTCAACACAATGGGGTGTATAACGTTGACTCTTTACTCAATATGTCAAAACAAACAAAAATCGCATTTTCAGTCAAAGCACAAGAATAAAAGCCAAAATACAGTAGACACTGTTTTGAAAGAACACAACAGAAATGCTTAGTAAACCACTTGCCGACCCTTTCTGTTCTCAATAGAAATTCTACCTGTGTCAGAAAGGGATGTGATGCAATGACCCATAAAACACTATTTTAATCATTACTATTTTTTAGGTTTTACATTTCTTTAAGCTTTACAACACTACTACGACAGCCTATAGATTTCCAGTGTTAGTGCACAGTAAACCCTGTGCTTGTTTATATAAACCTCATGGTGTCTATAGAGTTTAACTGATATTGAACCCAGAATATTCCTTTAATATGTTCACGTGCATGAGGTTCAGTACCTGGATCATGACAGGTTCAGTTGTTGGTCCTGCTGAGGTGAGATTCTCCATATTACCCGTCCGATCGTAGTAAAACTTCGTGCCACCTGCCTCGTACTCTCCGTTCCACTGAATTATGTAATTCCCGTTGAGGTAATACTCATCTGAATCAGCCGCTCGGATCGCAAGGAAATTCCCAGCCTCTTCCACTTCCTGTATGAAGATATCCCGAGCTCCCTCAGGGATCAAAACCAGGTCTGTGTAACCTAAATCACATAATCTCACTTATAAACCATTTAAAACATTGCTGTTTCAACACATAGACATTCATCTGGACAGAGTTTGTCAATTTGTGAAATTTAATTTAGTATATAATATAATAAATATATATATAAACATATAATTCATGTGTGTTACTCAGAGACAGGGCTAGAGATTACACACCAAATCCATCTTGCGCCACAAAGTTCTCCTTCACCGTCTCACAAGTGGATCCATCACCGAGACAAACGCCACAGCCGTCCTCTTTAGCATTAGAATTAATGCCAAAATCACAACCCACCTCCTGGAGAAAGATTACACATACATCAACATCACAGATATATACGAAAGCACAAAATATAGTTTTTTTCTATGGCACTCAAACATAACTCACAATTTACTTCACTTATAACATGAAAGATGAATATTAGGAGGAGGCAAAAAATGCACATACTGTACATTCTGTTGACCAAAGTGGATAGTTCACTCAAAAATGTTTTTTTTTTTTTTTTAAAGAAATAAATACTTATATTTAGCAAGGATGAATTAAATTGAGCAAAAGTGACAATAAAGACATTTATAATGTTATAAAAAAAATTATATTTCAAATAAATGCTGTTCTTTTGAAACTTCTATTTATCAAAAATGCATTTCAGTTTCCACAAAATATTATTAGCCCTACTGCTTTCAACATTGACAATAATAATAAATGCAAATCAGAACATTAGAATGATTTCTAAAGGATCATGTGACACTGAAGACTGGAGTAATGATGCTGAAAATGAAGCTTTTCCATAACAGGAATAAATGCCATTTTAAAATATATTCAAATAGAAAACTTTTTCACAATATTACTGTTTTTACTGTATTTTGGTGAGCATGAGAGACTTCTTTCAAAAACCGACACCAAACCTTTGAATGGTAGCATGAGTTTCAAAATGAAGCTAAAAGTATTGCACCACTTTGTGTTTGTGAAACATTAGTGGAACATGTTTCTAGTTAATGTGATGAACTAGACCTGTGCTTACTTGAGAAGAAATGATTTCATACATCCACTAAAAATGACCAAAACACTAGCTGATTAAAAGACATTGAGCAACAATAATGACGAAACGTTATGTTAGTGAATCTCGTGCAGCACAGAAATTCCTTTGATATTCTGATAGGTAATAAAATGGCTTAATATCCATATTCAAAACGTAATAATCACTTTAATGTAGCTTGTGCAAACAGTTGTACATGGAAGCAGTTCCGGGAGGATGACCTCTGAGGTCAGCGTTGCGCATGCGCCGGTGAGTCTCGTGAAAACCAACGTTTGTTTACAGGAGCAAAGGAAGCAAAGTTTCCTTACTTTAGCAAAGGAAAACCAGTTTCCTCTTGGCTTATATCGAAATCCTCTGACATTCTTCTTTACAAATCCTTTTTTTTATGCATGGGCGCTTTTTATTTAACTTCTTTTGGACTGAAGCAATGCAACACCCGCTGAGTGGCTTGAAAGATCAAAGACAATTTTTTATATAACTCCGACTGGATTCGTCTGAAAGAAGAAAGTCATATACACCTAGGATGCCTCAGGGGTGAGTAAAATGCAGCCTAATTTTCATTTTTGGGTGAACTAACCCTTTAAGTGCACTTTGTATACACCACTGTATAGCTACAGAACACAGACAATACATCAATACACCAGCGCACACATGAGCACAAATTGGTTATAAGTAAGACATACCCAGCCACACTACCTTGCACACACCATTGACACAGCTGTTTCTGCTGTTGTTCATAAAGCAGGGCGTTCCATCTGTAACCGCATCCAACATCTTCTCAGAAAAGTTCTCATCCACAGGCTTGCAGTGCAGCTCGCATGGACGTGCTGTGAGAGAGACATAGTGAAACATTTTAAGATAGTACTGTTTGCAAAAGCATTTTACTAAAACATTTGGTATACCAAAAGTTTGGGGTCTGTAGGATTTTAGATTTTTTTGTAAGAAGTCACTTATGCTCACCAAGGTTGCATTTATTTGAGTCAAAATACATTAAACACAGTAATATTGTGAAATATTATTACAATTGAAAATAACTGTTTTAATATATTTTAAGATGTAATATTCCTGTGATGAAAAGCTGAATTTTCAGCATCATTACTCCAGTCTTCAGTGTCACATGATCCTTCAGAAATCATTCTAATATGCTGATTTGCTGCTCAAGAAACATTTCTAATTATTATCAGTGTTGAAAACAGTGGTGCTGCTTCATATTTTTGAGAAAATTCCGGATTCTTTGATGAATAAGAGTGGCATTTATTTGAAATAGAAATCTTTTAACATTATAAAATGTCTTTACTGACACTTTTGATCAATTTAATGCGTCCTTACTGAATAAAAGTGTTCATTTCTTTTAAAAAACAATCTTACTGACTCCAGACTTTTGTTCAGTAGTGTAACTTTTTTGTAACTTTAAGTTAACAAAATCAGACAAAAGACCCAGAAAAAAAAAATCACATATAATTAATTGGTATTGTTACCATGCAAACATCAAATAGTATTTAGGTTACAATCTACAATCCAAAACTCACGCTGTGCTCCAACGGCTTAAACAGAGCAAACAACAATGACTAAACACTTGTGTCAGGAATCTACATGCCTCTAAAGCTGGCTAATAAAAGTGGGGCATTCTTGAATGTGAACCAACAAACTCTATAAAATTGTAAGCAGCCACGTGTAAGAAGTTTTATGTTAATGTCAACAGGCCTCGACCCGCCGCAGCGTGCATTAACACAGTATCTTGGCTCAGCTGTTCAGTTGTAGAAAGCACATGTTTTCTTTTTTCAAGTCAGTGCAAAAAACATTACATGCTTTACAGTTGTGTATCCAGTTGTGTTTATTCAAACAGTTCTTGAGAAAAAGAAATATAATCAACTAGACTTTTTCTAACTTCTGAAGAAAATGCAAGCGATGCAAAAGTCACCACCTTGATGCTAGGGTGTTCAGGCATGTTTGATGATAATAAGAAATGTTTCTTGAGTAGCAAATCAGCATATTAGAATGATTTCTGAAGGATCATGTGACACTGAAGACTGGAGTAATTATGCTGAAAATTCAGCTTTAATCACGGGATTAAATTACATTTTAAAATATATTCAAATAGAAAACAGTTATTTTAAATTGAAATAATATTTCACATTATTTTTTGTATTTTTGATCACATACAGTAAATGCAGCTTTGGTGAGCATAAGAGACTTGTATCATGCACAAATACAAATTTGAATGCAATGTGTTGATGCATGTAAAGTAAAGTGCTCTTACATGAGCTTGCAACAGGTATCCACTCGTAGAGTTCATTGTGGTACGGCACAGTGTTAAATTCACTGCACTGCATCTCTCTGAAGGACGGATGTTTTCTGGCACAAGGTTTTGTGCTGCAAATTCTGTAGCGCTTCCGCTCGCCTGTACAATATTTGCCTCCAAACTCAGGTCTGTACATAGAAACACAAATCATGCGTCAGATCATGTTCAGCAAAATGCACAAGAAAAGACAGAGAAGGTGGAGGAATTTAAATGGGGAGAAAAAAAGAGACAGACTTAAAAGTGTTTACTTAAAGACTCAAAAGACTCATCAATTTATGACAGAGCGCAAAACTACACAACAAAAGGCAACAGTTTGTAAAATAGTTACAGGTGTGCCCTCTAGTGTATTCTGCTGGTAGTACAGCAGATACTGGGCAGAAATCAATGAACAGAAGAGCATACTATCACAATTTTTTTATACAGTATGTTTATTGTGCCCAGTATGCAAATTCTCTGTATGCATATAATATCCACCTAATATGCACACTGCACTGAATACTTTAACCCAGAATCTTTCATTTTGATGTGTGACAAATGAATAATTAGATATTTTTAACCTTTTAGTTGTTAATCTTCTTGGCACATAATGCATTTTTCATTATATTTTTAATTGTATTTAAATTGTGTGTGTGTGTATAAAAACAAAACTATATGGGGTGCTGTGTGTACATTAATGAGGAAAAAAAATTAACTTAAATGATTTTAGCAAATGGCTGCAATATAACAAAGAGTGAAAAATTTAAGGGGGTCTGAATACTTTCCGTACCCACTGTATATGTATCCCAGCACACTTATATTTAAAAAGAACTGTGGTCTGTAAAATTTGTTAGTTTTAAATGAAATCTCTTATGATAACCAAGGTTGCATATATTTGATCAAAAATACAGTAAAAACAATAACCATTTGAATATATTTTAAAATGTAATTTATTCCTGTGATGCAAAGCTGAATTTTCTGCATCATTACTCCGGTCTTCATTGTCAAATGATCCTTCAGAAATCATTCTAATATGCTGATTTGCTGCTCAAAAAATAAAATAAAAAATAAAATATAAATATTATTATCAATGTCTAAACAGTTGTGCTGCTTAATATTTTTCTGGAAACCATTATTATTATTATTTTTTTCCAGAATTATTTGATGAATAGAAAGAAGTTCAAAAGAACAGCATTTATTTGAAATAGAAATCTTTCATAACATTATAAATGTCTTTCCTGTCACTTTTGATTAATTTAATGCATCCTTACTAAATACAAGTATTTATTTTTTTTAAATAAAACCTTACTGACCACAAAAATGAAAGAAAAGCACTGAGAAATAATATAGAAGCAGCAGTAGAGAGTGATGTGTACTTGGGCTGGTTGCATTCCCTGTCTGCTGACTGGACTCCGGCTCCACAGGTGCGAGAGCAGTGAGACCAGGTGCTCCAGGGCCCCCAGCCTCCATGCACTGTTTCCGGTAACTTCCCTACGATCACACACTCACCAGAGATACACCACTAACACACACACACACACACACACACACACACACACACAGAATTAAATACAGTATACAATAATACAAAATACTTTTATTTGAAAGTCAATCTCTTATACCTTCTCAGGTCCACACCTGGTTCCATCTATCGGCGAGTCCAGTTTGGAGCGGCAGGATCCATTTACAGAGCACCACAGAATCTGACACACATTCTGAAACCAATAAAGCCTGAATGAATGGTTTGACAACCTGCAGACCCCCTTTCATTATAAGAGACTGTATTTTATTCATCTTGATTTTTGAATGAATGCACTCCTTACTTCC